GGAAGCAGCACAGCCTCAAGCCAGCCGGTGCAACAGCCCCTCGCCGCACGAGCCACAAGGCATCTGCCTTAAGCGGGACGCTAGACCAACCATCTGAAAACACGTTCTGGAGGCCGTGCCTTTTGCTAACCTTGCCTGCTTGTTTAATGTGGACACCAGGGCAGAAAAACAAAAGGAGGGGAGGCAAGGAGGAAATGCTGAGCAAGGCCTTGTCAAGCGCGGTGTGTCAGTTTACAGACACCGCCTCTGCGTGACGGGAAAACCATCTCTCCCAGAATTCCTGGTCTCTCTCGTCCAGGTGATCCAGATCTCAACATGTCACCTTGCAGAAACCGAACGGCCTGAGCCTGCGGGCGCCCCCACCGAGGGCCAGTGAGATTGCCTGACCTTCTACTGCAAACGCCCTTACTCCCGCTCAGAGTAAGGTAACCTGAAGGGGAGTGAAAAGGGCTGAGTAGCTGTCCAGGGCAGCTGATTCCGGGAGACCCACTGAGAACAGGGACCGTGGGATCTTCTGGCTGCAGCTCAGGCCACACTTTCAGAACAAGGGGAAAGCTAAGAATGACGACTGCAAGTCCAGTCTTACTGCATGAATCACCGAACAACTCACTTCTTCGAGAGGGGCAGGCAAACATTTTCCACCTGTCCCCGTGACCCCTCCCTGATCCTTGTCCCATGCTACGCATACTGTACGGTTAGGAGTGAGTCTCTGCCACGTTCTCTGCGTCAGAACCTCAGCCGGAGCACTCCTCCAACCCTCACGGAGTGGCTGGGGCACAGGAAAGGGGGGCCCGAAGGCAAGGACTCCTGCAGAAACGGTCCGGTGGTTGTTCACGTGTGGAGGGGGAAGGGGCTGCGCCCTTCACCTGAAACTTGCTTGGGGGTAAGTTAATGGGGCGCATCACTGCTGCAAAATTACTTGCCCCAATTCAAAACTACTTGCTAAGTAGAAAACCCTCATCTGTTGCAGCAGCAAAAAATAGTCCCGATGTCTTTTTTGTGACTTCAGAAAACTGGCGGTCATGGTCATTCTCTCATGGGTTCTAATGTTGCAGTCTGATGCTGAGTGTCAACAACAGCTGATGCTGGACCACAGTTTCATTTATCTTGCTCCGCAAATATGAAATGAAGATGCAACATAATGCCCCGAATGGGGCCAAACTGCTATTCTGGTGGAAGGGTTAAGCAACAAGCAGAAATCTACTCTTCAGAGGCTGAAGGAAACGGGTGAAAGGAGGCATATCCTGCAAGAGGCACAGTACGAGGACAGCCACATCAGTCCACGGTGGCCAGAAACCCCCCGGGGTCCGGCAGCAGCTTTTTCAACTAACAAAAAGGCAAGATAAACTGGAAGATGCCATTTAGGGTGATCAGTTCACGGTCGGCCCTGAACCTGAATCAACCTGGGGTGATTGATTTGTCAAGCGGGAAAGGCAAGAAAAGCAGGGTGTGCTCTTTATGATTTGGGGCTTTTATGGGCTCAGAGACGCTCCCCACTATTCATGCCCTGCAACCCTCTGAACTTTTGTTCTGGAGGTGGTGCTGGTGGGAAGCAGGTGCTAAATGGGGCACACAAACACGTAACACAGTGGTAAGGAAAGAAGAGCCGCAGAGCACACGCATGATGGGTTCAAAGAGGCAGCCGCTATTTTGTAATTCTGGGAAAATGATCATCCAGTGTTTCTCAACTTCAGCAACTTTAAGATCTGTGGACTTCAACTCCCAGAATTTCCCAGTCAGCATGAGTTGAAGTGCACACGATGTAAAGTTGACAAGGTCAAGAAACATTGTATAAAAAGAGAAAGATGGGCTTGACAGCACTCCGGTGTGAAGACACCACAAAGCAGCCAACACAAAGACAGCGTGTGATTTACGACAAGCTGATGCTGTAGAGACTCACTGTAATGCTGTGGGATGGCCCCATATGCTGCACGTGAAGGCCTGGAGAGTTATAGTAAGACATGCCAGCTCTGGTGAGTGAAGTCGGGGGAGTAAAGCCAACGGTGTGACTTGCATACGAGAGACCTAAAACCAGAAAGTGAGAGAAGGCGTCATTACTGGGGAGGTGCCTCAACAGCCAGTCCAGGAGGAAGAAGAAAGGAATCACTGCAGAAAAGGTATTTGCAATGGTCTTGACAATGTGATGGTGGTTCCTGGCCAGGCACAAAGGGGTGACGCCATTTAAGCACCTAAACGTATAGTTTGCTCCAATCCAAAAGCTTCAAGGCAGGAAATAACATGGCCCCTATATAGGTTGGAGATTTAACACTAGGAGTGGCTGGGTTTGCTAAAAGAGGGAAAATCTATTTTCACCACTGAAAAAATAAAAGTTTGAAAAATCTAAGACTAAAGAAAGGATATAAAGGAAAAATGTTGAAAAAAATATAAAAAACTCTCTCCGATTTACATTCGTGGTTTCCAACAATTCCATGAAATAAAAATGACTCTGTTCTGTTTGTTGGCTAGTTACTTACCAACATTTTAATACAAGTCTTTTACTTCCTGAATGCTGAAGAGTCTCCACTCACTGCTTCTAGTGGAAGATTAACTATATATCTAGGCAAGACAGGCACGTGCTATCACAAACATAAAAAATCAGAATTTTCCATATATTTACCTGGTGAGATGGGTCTGCTGGAACTTGGAGAAGGTGTGTATGGAATTGGACTTGACACAGTGCGAGGTCTTAATCCTTGCGCAGACATTTCGTTAAAATATCTAATTTAAGAGATACAGATCAATTAGTTTTAATTTGCCATAAATCTGTTTTCTTACTTTAGGCTTTCTTCTAGTTTTTCTCAAAGTTTTGCCAAGATACTAGAGGAGCATCATGATAAAGTTGGTACAACTGACTAAATAAAAACCATTTTTAATCATTTACAAGGGTGACACTAATAAAATAGACATTTTAAAGCATATTAAGTATTTTACACAATCACTATAAATGGTATATTACACTTTTACACAGGCCTGTAAGGAATATGGGTAACAAAGCTAATTTCTGAAATGCTACTCCCCCCTTCAGTCCAAAAAGCACAGATTGCTCTTCTGGCACTGCCAACTGCAACACGTCCAACCCTCTTCAAAGAAAGCGGTCTGTTCTTCAGAGGAATTCCGTGCACATTTAACTGAGTTGTTCATTAAAACGCACACGCTGACTACGTCTGTCTTAACTGGACGACAGTGCTGACTTTGAAGTCACTAAGCTGCTAACTCCAATTGTGGAGGGACACATGAGAAACGCTTCTCGTTCTGAAGGCGTGGCACTACGATAACCAAGCTTCCACCTGCAAACTTCAGTTTAGACTCCAGCTTAAGTGGAACATCCTCTAGTTACCAGATGGACGTAATTACTCCTCAACATTAACAAAGCAATATAAATCAAGCAGAAGGAGAATCCCCAGGAACGCAGGCCTTGTTATCTGGTCAGAGTGACTGAACTGTTCCTCCCCTTGGAAATGCCTTTGTTGTATGCCCAAATTAGCCCCGTATCTTCAAAGAGAGGGACAACCCAAAGCAAGGCCGTATCAGGAGTAGCTCTAAAACAACGTATCCTCCTGCTGCTGGTGCTGCTGCTGGCTGCCCCTGCAGTGGCATGGAGTGACCCATGGCATCAAGCTGGGCTGTTAATTACAGAGGAGAAAGGGACAGAAATGGACCGGGGAGGGTCTGTTTCTGCTGGCAGCCCCAGATCCCTGAAACCTAAAAGTCAGAAGAGTGGAACAAACCGAACACAAACCTTTCATCGTCCATTTCCAAACTGGATTCACTTTCGGACAGCTGCCTGCACAAGGCTTCCCTTCGCTCCATCTCCCTCTGCAATTTTCTTTGGAGCCTCAAGTTCTCTTCTCTCATGTGACGTTCTTCCTCCAAGTACTGGGCCATCTTCTCTGAATCTGGAGTTTCAAGATGGTTTGTTATTAAACCCAATGTTGCGCTTTGTAGGGCCCACAGATATTGGTAAACATTTTATAATTCGACTCTGAATTGAGCCGAATCAAGGAAGGAGAACATAGACAGCTGAGCAAACCCTAGTTTAAGCATAGTTTAACCCCAACCCCACTGAACTGGCTACAATTGGAACCATCCAAGGTTCCCTAAAGTAATTTGTATCTAACAGAAAGTTGTTGGTTAGGTAAAAGTGAGAGTGGCAAGTGCCTGGCTCAGACAGGCTTATCAGCCATCCTCAAAATCATGAATATTAGCTCCAAGAATCCCAACTGTAGAGGGACATATGAGAAATGCTTCTCCTTCTAAAGGTGTGACACTACGATAACCAAGCTTCCAGCAGCAAGCCTTGGTTTGGGGAGAAAATCTATCTTTGGGACAACTGTCTCTGTTTGCTGTGATGACAGAAATGACAATATAAATCTCAAAAAACTGTCTGGGAGGGGGAGTGTGTGTGGGGAGGAGCTCTCGTGCTCAGAAGATTTCCCATAAAAGTCCCCCACAGAGTCTCTCGCCTAAGCTGAAAGGTGGTGGGAGAGATGAGAGATAACCCAGAGTGCTCCAGCCTGGCTATTCATTATGGAGACACAGAAAGCAATAAATTGTCCAGGGTCACGTCCCTGTTGCTGCAGTCGCCCACCAGGCCATTCAAGGACAACGATGGAGAAGATAAAAGGAGAGCTGCACCAAGAGGCTTCTGGATTCTAGTGCCTCAGGCTGACATTTGCACACATGCAGCCCTCACCCCGAGACGTTGCACTGACTCAAGGACAGCGAGCAAAGGCAGTGTCTCCGAAGGGACAGGCAAGGACATGGAGATTAACGTCTCTGATCTCCTCTGAAGTGACATTACTAATTCTGCAAAACTTGTAAACAAAGACTCAGCCTAAAAACGTACGTCTTCTTCATTTCCCTCCTCAAATGACATTAATTGCTGCTAAATGCTTTGCCTCAGAAAGCTAAGTTAAAATATTGCTACTAATCTCTGTCTAGAAAAAAGGCTGCCAATTCAGCCTATTCAGAATGTAGGGAACGGACAGAGAAGTCATTGACCCACAAATACCCAAGTGCAGAAAAAAAGGGCAACTTTCTACATTCCAAGGCTGGAAGAAATACAAACTACGAGGATGGCTCTTCTCTCTGCTCTCTTTCAGCCTGAATCTGAAATTCAGGGGCTGCTCAGAGGCTGTCCTCCCATTTATTTCCCCATCTTAAGCACAGACTTCAGGATCCCACACTTCTCCCCCATACTCCTTTCTCTGTGGAGACATGAACACTCAAACCGCAGGATGACGGCCCCTGTCCTGAGATGTTCACTGAAGTTAGTAACAAAGTAATCACCGGAGGATACTTTAAAAAAGCTGCTGACTTTTATTCAGAACAATTTTAAGCATCTCAGATTTAAAGCAGGGATTATTCAGCTCAGTTCACGGCTTGATCAAATTCTGTGCATTAAGGCCCGCTTGTTTATGCCAGAAATGACTGGCCCCCAAGAAGAGCACCAGGAAGAAGATCCCACTGGCAACGCATCTGGAGGGCTACCGTCCTCCAGGTATTCGGGGGACTCAGGTGCCAAAGGCCCTTCTGGACTCTTCAAATCTCACCACTGTTGCAGGGCACCAGCTTGGAGATAATGGGAAAATGAGGATAAACGTCTGGCAAATGTCTTTAGCCTCCCGTTGCAGAGTCTTCTCCAGTATTTTATGCCCCTGTCCTGTTGTTCCTTGGCGATGGCCTGCCCCTTCATTTTGTGCTGCTTTGTGGCCGTTACTTTCAATGTCTTTGGATGTCTTGCTCCTCCCTTGTCCCACAGCAAGCGGCTTAGTGAAAAAGGTCCACGTGCTCTGTGCCCAGAGGACTGGCATAATGCTCTTAGACAGTATCGAGGCATCAACAGTTATATTCTTGTTTTTAGAGCAAAAGTGTAATATAGAAAACACAGAGTATGGCATTTTCACAACTTTGAAAAGTCCATAACCAAATGTTAGGCAATTTAAACTGATGAGCTAGACGTGGTCAGTATTCTGCGCCCCCCCCGCCCCATGTATATTGACTACAGTAAAGCAAAACACAACGCTGACTCTTAGCAAAGATGACTAGAGAATTATAAAATCACACATAATTGTTTTATGGCAAAGCAAAATAAGCTAAAATAACCTGAAACCCTATTTGTTCTACCTGGGGAGAAAACCTAGATTGCAGTACAGTCAGTCCTGTTACACAGAAACTAACACCCTGCTTCTGAACTCGCCCTCTAAGTTATCCTGCCTGGAAATGATAGTTTTACATGACGCACAGGGAGCGCAGCGAAGGAAGCCGGACTTACGCTGTAGCTGCGCTGCTCGGAGCTGTTTCTTTAACCTTTCTACCTCATTCTTCAGAAACCTGATATGCCGCATCATATTTTCTGGAGAATCTATTTCCATTGATATGTCCCTTGGCGATGGAGGAGCAGACACCGGCTGGTCCAATTTCTCCTGGAGAATTCTGGAATTAAAATATATATGTACATACAAATTGGCACTTTCTGCTTCATTTCTTTGAAATATATTGTAATGGTACATGGGAATGACCTTGGGAGACTGGCCAAGAGACGCTGCCTAGGGAATGGTCAGACTTGCAAGATTCTGTTAATATAGCTTTACAATAAAGTAGAATTAGTCATCTGGTTGTGTTTCCTGTCTGGTCTACCTAGTAAGGCTGACATCAATCTTGCAAGTCTGAAAGTACAATTCTTCCCCCCCCCCGGTCTCCTTTACAGCCCAAGAAATTAGGGAGGGTCTCTTCTGAGCCTCTTGCCCCGCTCACTATCCAGCTGTGGGCTATGCTGCCTCTTGGCCCAATCCCCCAAGGTCATTCCCACATACCATTACATCTATCAACAGAAAACAAGATGATTTGAAATGGTCAGTATTCTTTTTTGGCAAAGAAAGGTATGCACAAACTGTGCTGAAGAAATCAAATCCTACAAGTAGAAATTGTAAGAAGGCATTATCTAATTAGGGCAAACACTTTATCACAAACCTGAGGATCAATAAACCCACCCAGTGGGAAGAGTTACAAGCTAAGGCCAAGCCTGGTTGCTCCAGAATTCTGATTAACGAGGCTGGGCGAGTGGCCGGCTTACTCCTTGGCCCAAGGGCATGAAGGAGGCAGGGACCTTCCATCCACAAGTCACTAAGGGTTAGGTCCATCCTTGGCTTCCTGCTCTCTGAACAAGACTGCCTCAGGTTTCAGAATCAAGACTCAAGGCATCACTTTAATTTCTTGTGTGTTTAGAAGGTTAAAAAAAATTCTTGTGAGAACAAAAGATCATAGCAAGACTCAACCTTTCATTAACTAACAACCACATCAGAAAACATCAGGTGTTCATGGCCCTCCAAATTCTGCTGCTTCTGTGAAATCTGCTGAATGCTGTGAAATGTTATTTGTGATGAAAATTGGGATTCAGCAAAAAGATTTTATAAATAGCAATGGCTAATTTTCAATGTGAGATTTGTAACTTTAAGGCAAAGCTTAGTAACAGGACAGGAAGGACCCTTTCTAGTGAATTATCCTTAAAAGCCATATTATATTAGTCTCTGGTTTTGCAACATACCACGATTTACTGTTCTCTTACTGCTCCTCAAAATAGCTACATTTTAGGGAGAAGCTGTGAAATCTGCACCTTGGCCCCTCAAAAAGGTGTGAGTGAGTGGGAGGCGCAAAGAAGAAAATCAACCTTTTTTCTGCTTCAAGTTTATCCATCCTCTTCCAGAGACGATTCACGAGGGCTTCCTGTTCTTGTTCAAGTGTGTTTTCAAGATCAATCTTCTCACGTCTTAGCTAAGAAACAAAGTGTGGTTTGTTAAAAATGGGCATTGCCTTTTCCTAAGTTTTAGCTGGACCACAGTTTAACTCAGCATCAATTCAGGACACCAAGAAACTGCATTTAGATTGCCAACATTTACATTTTGGTCAGAAACTTTTTCTCACAAAAATATATTTTGCTTGCACAGTTGAGAGAAGTTCTGTTGGTCCAGGATCCTGGAAACAGGACAACTATTTTAACTAGTTATGCTTTTCTTTGCGCTCATTAGGGGAAAATAAATGCTTCTCCTGATTTCCTTCTAATTCATTTGTCCAGGTAAAAACAACGTTTCCTTCATGTCAAGCTTGATTCCTGGGGATGCCGTGCCCATACCCATGTAGTCCACCTGGCAGCAATATGGAACTGGTTTGGCTACTGTCTTCTCTTAGAGTGGAGTGGGATGTCTTTGGATTCCCAGCCTCACCTACAGCCCTGAGATTTCCTGCTCATCACCCATCCAGTTCTAATCAGCTCCAATCCTGCTTAGTTCTCAAGCTCAGCCAAGGTCAACCTGATGCTGCCAGGCAGCTGGACATACTCTGCTATTTACTGGTTGATTTGCTGCCCTTGTTTTGAGGAGACCAAGGCAAGGCCACCCCTCATTTTATCCTCGTAACAGCAGTCCTATGAGTAAGACGTGCTAAGAGAAAGCAACCAGCCTAAAGTCACCCAGCAAGTTCCACGGTCAAGTAGGGTCTTGAACCCAGATTTTGGGGGTCCTGGTCTGACACCATGATGACATCTCAGCACTTGACATTACTGAATTAGGCCATTCTCATTCTGGGTGGAGGGGGCTTTGCAAGTTTGGGAAGAGAGCGTTCCTTTGCATATCCTTTTGTGCCCAATTTCCTTTTCATCAGCTGAGTGACTATTAAGCCTCACTTTGTTTACTAATCAAAACATAGATTTTACCGGGTCCCCAAACTTAGCTACAGCTTGTGGGTTCTTGGGAGATAGGGCTTTGCTTTGGGAGAGGCTGTCTGAAGCAAAAGATGCAAGAACGCCAGCTCAAACATCCAGATTAAAGACTTTTGGGTTAACTCTCCCTACTGCCGAACCATACTTGATTCAAACTGGACTCCAGGCCCAAGTGGGCCTGTTCCTCCACTGGCTGGGCTGTCCCTACTACAGACAGACAGAGCCAACTATTCCCTGCCGCAAAGTACAGGAAATGCACTTTGGTGGAAGGAACATTTCCGTCAGCTAGGAAGAGTACTTGGGAACACGATCAGCCTCTCTGAGATGTGCTTTTATTAGGGCTAGGGGAAGATCAAGCCGACTAAATGGCCACACAAAGTAGTAACAAGACACTTTCAATTTAAATGAGAAATTAACAACTGCCAGAAGGGCAACAGCAGCTGCAGCTCAACTCCTATTTTGAAAAAACGGGGAGCTGCTGGATCAGGTCAGCTTCCTAAGCGAAGCCAGACAGAAGAGGCATTTCCTGGTAAGGATGTGGCAATAAAAGGAAACTCCCTAAAGGTATTTGCATTTTAATCTTTGTGCTTGGCCAAAGGGTTTATACCTGCTGCTGAATTCAAGTGCACAGTTCACCTTCCCCACAGAGGCTGGGAGGTGGCAAAAGTTAACCTCTAATTCTCAGGACTGAGCCACACACCCACGGCCGTAATTTGGTGTTCAGAATCCAGGGTAACACAACTCTCTCTCCTCCCATGGAACTGCTCGACCCAGGGAGGTTCTCAGGTGAACAAAAGCCACACGGCATTCCCACAGGGAGTATTTATGGTTCAATCAGGACCATCAAGGGCAGCATAACCACCAATGGCGGGGTTGTCGAGGAGCATTCTTTGTGCATACTTTCTTTGAGCACTAAAACAGAGCAGAGAGCAAATCAGAGCTCTGTAACAGACATACTCAGATCCTCTTTTTTTGGTTGTTTTGTTTTTAAGAGTAAGCCAGCTCCAAAAACCCTTGCAACAGAGGACCATCACTTTAAAAACTGACAGTGGAATCAAATCTAGAAATCAAACATTAAGACCAAAGAATCCACCAGTAATTTTAATAATATCAGAGTCTATAAAAGGCTCTTAGAATATAAAAGTAAGAATAAAGCAGAAAATCTTAATTCTTCCGCAACTAGCACAATGATGTCGAAGTGAGTGGCTTGCATGAGGATGAGTGGCAAGGGCCCCCTGAGATCCCTTTTCTTCCTTGACAAAGTTCCTTCAGGGCTTGACTGCAAGATCTTTTTGCCAGGGAGTTCTCTGGCTTGTTCTTAACACCTTAACGTCGGCATGGAAGTCAGAAAACAGGTGTAATCAACAGTGCAATATCTGATCTTGAATATGAAGTGTCAGTTATACAGGCTTCAGAATTTGCTCTTCAGAAACTCAGAACGAGAGCCAGTTTGGTGTAGGGGTTAAGGCACCAGGCTAGAAGCCGGGAGACCGTGAGTGAAGGCAGCCGGGGGACCCTGGGCCGGTCCCTCTCCCTCAGCCCTAGGGAGGAGGAGGCCAGAGCAAACCCCTTCCCAAATCTTGTCAAGAAAACTGCAGGGGCTGGTCCAGGCAGTCACCAGGAGTCAACACTGACTCAAAGGTGCGCGCACACACACGCACATACAGACCCAAACCATCTTGAAATAAAATGGTCTTTCAAATGGCAACTTTGCTGTTGCCTTTTTCAGTTCTACACCTGGAAGATGATTATTATTCCTGGCCAAAAGTCACATGGCATAAACCTTTCTAGCTATTCCGGAATCATTTAAGCACATCGCTATCATAAGTGATTCTGCAGATACACTGCACATATTCCATGTGCAGCAGGCGGATTATTGTCCTCTCTAAATGAAGAGACCATTAAGCAGTAAGCCAATGTACATATTATTCTAGAACAAACAGAAACAGTCCCCTACTATTCTGGAATTACTCATTTAATCACAGGAATATGATTGAACACCCCGCTCTTCTTATGGCTAACCTAGGTGAGTGGGAACACAGCCTAACCCCTGCTTGTTCCTGCTTGTTCCTGCAAGGAGAAAACACGGGGCTCCACCGTTCATCTTCACTGCTAATTTCAGACTCCAAATGACAACACGAGGCGGTCTTATTTGGCAAGCCAGTGGATGAGCCCAGACCATCTGCTTATTTCCAGGATCTGTTCTACGCTCCTACTACCGTTAGCAACAATAAGGCTTGTGTGAAGCTCTGGAGACAGGATATAAGCGGGATGGCAGGCTCAGCTTTTAATGGAGTGACGCTCCATTAAGTGACGCTCTGGAGGTGTTGCTCTGCTTTTCAACCAGAATGCCCTCTTCTGTAATATAGGCAAAATAAGGTGGTAGAATCCTCACTCGCCACAGAAGAGGAGGAAAAATGCCTTCTAAATTTCAAGTGCGTGGCACTGATTAGTCTATTTAAGGAGGCACGTGCCAAATCTCTTCTCATATCTTATTTTATTACAAGGGGGAACGGGGAATGATCACCTCATTCCCTACCCTGAAGTCGGCTGCTCTGCAACCAGGTGCCCTTGACAAATGACTGTGAAGGAGCCCAGCTCCTTCCTCCTCCTCTCTTAATCCGCCCTCAGGGGCCACCTTTCCTCTGGCCTTTTCCAAAGCACAACTCTCCACGGAATCTTCCCCCAGACCCAGCACCTTCCCTTTAGCCTTCCCAGCCGCCATCTCGTCGTGGATGGGGGATTGAGCCCCACCAAAAGCAATGTTTCAACTCTCCCTCAAAAGCTGGGCTGCAAACTGCGCTGACAACCAGACCTTTATTCCTGTCAATGCTCACCAGCCCCGTGTGACTTACCTGTTCCAGAGTTAGCTGCTTTGAAATGGTGTCATTTTCCAGTTTTTTTATTTTCTTCATCAACTTGTTCACTTGGAACTCCTGCTCCTGCTCCAGATGCTGCTCGAGTTCTGCCTTCTCATGCTGTAGCTAAGATCAGGAGAGAGATCAAAACCCAAAGGGTCGGCATTTTGCAACAACAAACCAACATTTATTTTATGTAAGTATGGCTTATCTAAAATCCAGTCTGGGTAAAACCCTGATTGGAAGTGAAACAATATTAACAGCAAACATGAAGGATAGATAACATACGAAACACACACATCCTGCAGAAAATGCTTTTGTTCCTTTTGAAGGGGCAACTTCAGTAGCAAATTTCTACTGTGTTTTCTACAAACAGGGACAAAATACAGCAATCTGGAGCAAATCAGATTTCTGGGCATTTCATGTGGGGATGAGGCTCAAGGAGATTCCTCTAAGGCAACCCATGTCACTTCCATATTTTTCTTCTCCTGCGTGATGCAGGAGACCGTTGTGCATCCCCAACTATCTCTCCTGATCTTGAGGCAGCCCTGGTCTTAAGAGGGCTCCTCAGCAGGTTTTTCCCCTGGGCTTTGTGCTCCTAAAACAACAAGTCAGCTTCACAGCAGGCTTCTTCCCGACGTCTCTGGTGCATTTTTCACATGGACACCTGAAATCATAAAGCCTTTCTCTGCCTGTTGCTCCATCACAAGGCATCACATTCTGGAAAGGATCTCCTGAGCCCGACATCCTAGATATGCCTTAATCCTAGAACCCACTGCTAATAGAAACTCAGTTTGTTGTGAGCCATGGGGATGAACATGATGTGCAATACTCCACAGGTGAGGGTTGGCTTCTAAGCCTTCAAACCACTTACCTGAATACCAGGAGGACATAAGATCAGACCCCACACCAGGAGAGTGACTTCAGTTGGAACACCTGGCCTCTCTATGGGAATTCCTGCCTCTACCCATTTTTGAAACATCTGGGCTGCTCCTGCAATGTGTTGCAGAGTTGAGCCTGCCAACTGGGGAGCCCCAGCTGTGCCAAGCAAATGCTCTGATCCATTATTATAGGGACTGTGTTTCCTCAAAAGTATGTTTTATTACTAAGCCTATGGTTGTTGTTGTTTTTTTAAGTTCATGTTACTGTAAGAGCAACTGATCATTTCTGAAATTATCCTACCCTGGTTCTTTCCAAAAAGAGAGATACAAGACTGGTCTTATCAGCCAGACTTCCTTGATAAACAGATTAACTTAGAATTGGCAGAGATCAAATGACCGCCCCCCCGCCCCTTTCAGAGCTGACTTCCTCCATATGTGCAGAAGTCTGAACTGCAGACAAGTTCAGACAAAGACTTAATATTTCTGAGTGAGGGCAGCAAATATTTAAGTACCCCTTTCAGCCTGTCCTATCTTGTAGGGCTGGAAATCTAGGTGTCCGTTTTCTAAAGCTGCTCTGTAAAATCAATTTCTCAAATTCTCCGAGAAGGATGCAGAATAACCCCCCGTGATTCTATAAACCTAAGAAAAAACTTTCAAAGTAATAAGCAGTGCTGGATACCAAGCCAAGAGATAACCCTTCTTTCTTAGAAGTCTTCCAGCCATGTCATTTAAAACACCATGACATCCCTTCCCTAAAGGAACTGGTGGCTGGAGCAAATCCAACAGAGCTTGCAAGAAATCTTGAGCTTGTGCCTCTAGCTGGAAACTTCAAACAGAATGTCCCAATGCAAACAGTTGAGGGTCACATGCACAGGATATCTCATTGCTCCCAGTTCCATGAATGTTTTATTCTAGAATAATCACCTTCCTCATCACCTCTCTCCCTAAAAGCTTTTCTGCTAGCAAGGATCTTCCCTTCCAAGATGCCTGCTAACAGGCGATCACAGTATCTTTGCAGATACTGATTCATTGGTTCTATGGAACCAATGAAGCATCCTCTTGAAAGCTAAAGGAACAAAGTGGTCTCACAAGGTCACACCTACACACAGAACAATACAATATTTTGACACCCCACTTTGGGGGAAAAAAATCCCCACATTCGCAAAGAAGAGTCTGACTAAAGTACCTTCTTACAGACATAAGCCTCAAATTTGCACCATAATGCTGAAAGGCGATATACCCGTGTTTTGAAGTATAGTCCAAACTGTTCTGACCTGGAAAATCCCTGCCAAGAGAGCACCAGGAAGAACCCCAACCATGCACAAGGGCTGAAAGAGCTTCTGGAAGCTTTTTCCAGATGCCACTGAATCTCTGCCTCATGAAGGCCCAAGACATGTGCTCAGACATTATGAAGGAACCCTTCTGCTAATTCCTCAGCATCCCAGAATTCACACGGCTCATCAAACAGGCAAGGTCTGTCACACTGAACTTGAAAACATCTTTGTGAGGCTGAAAATTAAGCAAAATAATGGTGAAACAATTTGGGCAGCCACCAAATGAGGGTTGTATTTGTTGACTTGAAAACCTCTCATGTACAACGTAAGAGCAATTTTCTTTAGTGGGAAAGATTGGGAGGAGCACAACAGAGGAAGAACTGCTGAAACCCTTTTATTCACACATACAAGAGCAGCTCAACTCTTGCTTCCAAGGACATCATCATGATAAATTTAGAGATGGATGGTTAATTAGTCCAGGCATAACAATCCCAGTTTTATAGGGCAGAATTAATTAGTATTATACCTATTCATATCGGCTTCCGAATCTGTTATCATTATTATTTGAAGTTCAGTTCCCATAGTCCAAAAGGGAAATTGTGATTTTATTCTGGAGTCCAAGGCTTCATAATGAACCAAGATCAATTCCCACCTTAGTAAATCATAGTTTATGATCATTGCACCCTGAATTCATGCAGGTATCTTTACTGCTGGAGAAACTCCCAAAGGACATTAGACAATATGAAAGGTAAATTCAGCCTGGAGAAGGATCATCTGGAACCACACATCCTTATCTATGATTAGCAGGTGCAAAATGATAGCCCAGATGTATTTCTGAAGAGAAAACAATTCTAATTTATAATGCCTGTTAAGAAATCATTACCTTACTCAATATTTTAATTCCATTTATCTAATAAAGTTCCCTTTAACGGCTATATTAAACTAGTTTAGGGAAGTCGGAAAGAGTCAGGAGTGGCCCTTGTAGGCTGTGGCAGACAGTATTATAGACTCAAGAATTTTTTTCCCCATTGGTTTATGTACATTCATGGACCAAACAGACTTCAAAAGAAAGAGATGACAGGGACCGACATGGGTGGACAGTCCCCAGAGAGTTGCTAGATGAGTAGACAACAAATTAAGCTACAATATTCCTCTCTTCCAACACAGACACATTTGGAAACGTGTGCCTTAGAAATAAACAGTATCACAGATTGATAACTGGCTAATACCTTTATAAAACCCAATCCAAATATCGCAAAGAACATACAGATTTCTGACTTCTCTGAAATTCTTTAGCAAGGACAATATTGCAAAACCAGGAGGACTCCAAAACACAGACTCTCTGTTTCACCAAGACCTGCAGTTCAGAATCTTGAAGCAGACTCTGGTTACCTGCTCAAACAATAAGTATTGCCAGATCTCAAGAGTACCTTTTGATTGATCCAGGAGGAAGAGAGAGACTTCGAAACATAGAAACTAATTGTATGCATTCATAAACAAACCTGCAACAGTTGCAACAACATCAATCCAGCTGAAAACAACAACTCAAATCTAATACAGCTGCGGAAACACAAACATCTCTGCCTCTAGGTCGGCTGGAACACGCAGGAGGTGAATTTACAAAGTGGGAAATAGGCCAATTAAAATAGAGCTAAGAGATTAGAGGGCAGTAAAACGCAGACTTACTTAGCAAATTGTCTGCACAAAGCGATTGTATCTTTCCTTTCCTTTCGCACTGCGTCTGAGGAAAAGGAGCAAATGCCTGACGTGTTATGGAACAGCCATGGAAGACTTTGTTTGACAAGCAAGGTGAAAATAATACCAAGAGATGTAATAAACTAACTCAGGCAGATGGATAAAATTTGGGAGGGCTGTTCATACACAGGGAATGCATCCATAGGAAGCCAGGCAAAACAGAGAGATGGACAGCTGATGCAACACCATCCCCCCGTATCTCCAAAGAAAGAACCTAAGCAGTCTAGGGTTTTATAGGCAAACTAGGAGCCCAGCTCATCTCTGATGAGAGTCTATTACTTTTTGCTCTGTCCACTGCACCTCCTGGTGAAGAATCAAGGCATTTTCTTGCAAGCAGCAGCAGCAGCAGCAGCAGCAGCGGCAGCGGCAGCGGCAGCGGCAGCGGCAGCTTCAAGGCCCCTCCAATTTCTTGTCTTGTCATACATGAACAAACTTGGTGTGTTGACCCAGAAAGATGGTCCCCAGGAACCCTGAGAAGTTGCACAAGGGTTTGAACATGCCCATTAAGAAGAAAAGCCCGGCAACGTTTTCAGTTTGGCTGGTGCTAAGGAAAATTCTCCAAGATGTACGTACAAGATAAATGGCTTTAAAAATAAGCAGAGTTAAAGTCTTGATCCAAGAGTGGTAGATCCAGCAACTTTGCATCAACAGTCTTGCTTATGACCAAGAGGAAGACAAGAGAGGAGGAGGAGGAGGAGGAGGA